TATATATATAAAACGATGCCTAATATCAGGAAACGATTTAATTTCCATCTATCAAAATAACAAAATCAAATGTCAATGTTCATCATAAGCGTTTATTTATTTTTTTTATAAAATCTGCAATTTTCTGTCACTCTTTGGATGTAGTAAAACACCCACAGATGTAGCAGAAAACATCTGGCTCATGTTTGCATTTTCATCTGTCACGGGCCATATTTCTAACCTTGAAATCAGAATTAGGCCTTCAACGATCAACACCCCAAAATCAAAAATTATTGGAAGCATTTCGTTCAGCAAATATGATGCAGTGTGGTAATTTGTGCAAGGAAAAAGTGAAATTTAAGTTATTTTCTAACAATCTTTTCTACATCCTTTCAAGATGTCTATTCAAAGCCACAAGTCCAAAAAGGAAGAATCTAAAATGAAACAATGCGTTAATGTCAGAGTGATTTTATGAAAGGGGTCAATATCAAGTTCACTGTACTATGAAACACATTCACACCAAAACTTCATCCTAAATTTTTAAAAAAGCTTCTAAAGTCATTTACTAATAATCTTCCTGGAAAGGAACCGCATTATATAAACCTTCTTGTAACATTAATACATATATTAATGTATGCACAGCACCTTATTATCATCCACCAGCACACTGTAGACCGTGACAGAAGACGTCCGTGAACGAGACCCTGATGTACACTGCTGACGTTTCTTCAGGGCTTCTGAGGTGCTTTGTGTCTCATAATGTCTGGCTGATGACAATATAAATTTGCATTGGAAATAGGATGTTAGTTCAACAAATCAGAGCGCTAACTTAAATATTATTGATATAAACTGTGTATCTTTCATAAAACAAATTTACATTATCATCTGAGCTCAGGTCGCCTCCTGAAACATGCAGATCGATTAAAATGTCAACTCTTTCAGAAGCAGCGCTTACTGTCAGGAGACGCAGAGAATGTGGACAGGGCCGCATTCACAACGCTAGAGGGATGCAGAACAACTAAATTGTCATCTCTCTCTTCCCACTGACTCTGGCAACGTTTTTGTCTGGACCTCTTCCATTCATCCACAGATGCCGAGAGACATTCTAGAAGGTATCATATGAAAGATCAAGACCAAATTCTGGAACTAAACCCTTTAAATGTCAAGGTACCTGCTCTCTTGGAGATACCTACTTTTTGCAAGGCCTGCTGAAGATCACAGTGAGTCTCTTTGAGCTCCCTCAGAATTTCAAGACTCTCTCGGCTGATATTCCTGTAGCGCAGAGCGAAGTACAGCAGAACAAGGCATCCAGTTAGAACCATGGTTTTTCTGAGAAGACCAACTGAAAAGGCGATTTTCTCCTATGCAAAAAAGGAAATCTGCAATAAACCATGACTGACAGTATGCGGATTCATTTTTTATTGAATTTTGCTTAAATTCCACACTTTAAACCTAGACAGCACTGACCACTTCAGTATTATGCACTAGTCTTACCATCTGTTGAAAACCATGGTCCTCATTTTCCAAAACCGTCTTACAGATCATCCTTTCGAGGTATACATTCAAAGCCACAAGTCCAAAAAGGAAAAACCTCAAATTAAAACATGATGCATCAATGTCAATCCCTGAGTAATTAAAGGGGTCAATGTGAAGCAAAATGTATTATGAAACACATTCAGAATTTAAATAGCTTCTAAACTGGCTTTTTCTAAATTTGCAAGTTTCTGACGTCAGACAGATGAATAAAGTTGAACATACACACACATGATGCCTACTACGAAACACTCAAACTTCAAAACTTAAGAAAAATACATGAAAAATAAATAAAAAATTAGCTTCTAAGATCTCTTTTTCCAAATTTGTGCAGGTTTCTAATGTCAGACAGATGAATACATTTCAACATATGCACACATGATCCCTTCTATGAAACACACTCAAAAGAAATTAAGTATTAAACTGAAACTAAGCTTTTAAAATGGCTTTTTACAAATTTGTGCAAGTTTCTGATGTAAGACAGATGCATAAATTTGAACATATGCACACTAGTGCCTACTCTGAGGTGGGAAAATCAATCAAACCAGGACTGTTCCTGACTGTGTGTAGCACCTACAACTCTGCACATGGCTAGACACGCTAACAACAAACAGCTAAGATCCCTGATCATTTCAGTCTGATCTTAACAGCCTGAGTGGAACGTTCAGTGTAGATTGTTTTGTGATCATTTCACAAAATAATACAGGCTGTTATTGAAAGATAGGATGGTTAAAAACAATATTGATCTTACAAAAACCACAGCTTGAGAACTGGTGCTTGACTTTTAGCCACATTTCACATGCAAAGAAGAGGTTCACACAGAAATCTCAGAAGAGCAGCAAAAAACTGACCATATAATTTTTTAGAAAAGGTCATGTAAAAGTCATATTTTGGCAGCAAAAACAAAACAAAAACCCTTTTAGCTATTTTTGCATCATCATCCATTCTAGAATCACTCCATTGACTGATCAGGTTTAAACTCACCTTGCTCCAGCTGTGCGCCGGACAGAAGTCAGAAGAAAAGAGGCGCCAAAGCCCAGGGTGTTGTAGAAGAGGGAACTAAACGTGTGCGTTTCAGTCATAATGAAGCTCTGAAGGAAAGCTACACGGTTAAAGATTTCCGCAAATGCCACCTGCTGCTCCTGCACAGAATGCCTCATCTCCGCAAACACATCTCTCAGGCCTGAACATTCAAACAATTTAGCTCAGTGTGGATCACAGCACACATGCACAGAATGAGGTAAAAGACAAGACATTTTGAGGTCAAGCACATACTTCAGTTTGATTGGCATTGATTGCCTCATCTCTACAACATGCAAAAAATAAGATATTTCTGTCAGGCTGAAATTATCTACAAAACAGTCTGAATGGAGCCTGCATGTTAAGTGGTGAATTTCCAGAATAAATTCAACTGCATATGCTTGCATGATCTGACATATAAGTGTGTAAGAGTCAGCGATGAGCTGACAATCTAAATGATAAGAGAGAGGAGGACTGTGACATCTCAACCTGACCTTTGACCTTTACACCTTGGGGCTATAAGTAACTACTAGGGATATATAATATATAGGTACCATATTGGTTATTGGCCAATATTACACATTTTTTAATACTGAATATTTCCGTGTGCATGCTCATTTCCCCAACATTTAAATGACCTTTGCTATAATCTAACACTAATTTAAAGCTAATCTTTTAAAACATGAATTTAATCACTGTAAAATATAATTTTATCAAAACTCAACTTTAAAATGTATTTTATTTTCTATATTTATTTTATTTTCTCCTATCTATCTATCTATCTATCTATCTATATATATATATATGCGTGTGTGAATATTTACAATATTTATAGACTAAATAGTATAGAATTTAATTATCAGAAGAAAAATGTATTAGATGTTTTTTAGTTATCAGTGATAGATCATAACATAAAATAATTATTGGCTTATTGTATCAGCCAGAATTTCAACATTCTAGTAGCATTCTTACATGAGCTTTTCTCATTTTAAATAAATGTATATTTTAACATTTTATTGCTAAAACTTTCACTATCAGTGATTCTAAACCAGGTATCATACTTCAATAAGCATACTCCCTTCTATTTTATATATTGACCAACACCTTGAGTTGAGTCCTGCAGGGTGCTCTTGAGCTCCTCTCCATTACGAAGGATGCTTTCCTGGGATTTGAGCGCGGCACTTTGGACCACGATCAGATCTTCTGCCATTCGCTGGGTGGAGGCCAACTGCTCCGCAACCCCCGCTGAACTCTCAGTCAACCTGAAACACAGATGAAAATCGGCTCACATTAATATTTTATGCACATAAATACCTTTCATATATGAAATATGCATCTAGGGACCTTTGTACCTGTGAATGGTGTTCTCAGATCTTTGTTGCCAGCGCTCACTCTGTAAGTAATGACATATACTGTGTGCATGGGTAAAACACTCAGTGTAGGTGTTGAAGGCCACAGGATCCATGTCTTGGGTGCAGGTTTTGACATCACTCTCTTCAGGGCACTCTGGGAAACTACGACCCGACCTGCAGAACACAGGGAATATTTAATGCTGAATAAAGTCATAACACTTCGCCTAAACTAGTTCTCATCTGGTTTGTTCAGATACGGTCATTGACAGCAAAGAAAAAATGATGTGAAATGTAATTAATAAAAAATAATGTTAATGAAAATAAAATGCAAATAATGCATTTTTAATATACTGAGTAAAATGAAGCCATATTAACACATTAAGCCATATTTATTATTGATTAATACAGACACTTGCTGTTGTTTTAAATAAGATAGACAGGTAGATAGATTCTAAGACTGATGATACACGGGGCAACTTTTTGAGCAATTTTGCCAGCCAACTTTTTTTGAGCAATGTTGCTTGGGCACTTTCCCATTAAGAATGGGTAACAAAGTTCTATCTGAATACTTTAGATCAGTCATGAGCCCTGTGCCTCACCTGGTTGCCCGTTGATGACAACATTGCTCAAAAAGTTGCCTCATGTATCATCAGCCTTAAGTCCTGATGCAAATGTAATTGAGAGCCACTGGTCTAAACAGTAGTGAAAAACGTCTTCCCCACTGGGTAAAAGAAAAAACTGTTTACACTAAGACAAACTGGTTCGCTGGTCTCCCGGTCTGGTCTGTCAGGGGGGTTGGACTCTAGTCAGAATGGGTGACCAGCTGAACACCAGCTCGGCCAGGCTGGAAGATCATTGTAAACCACTGAAGACCAGCGAACCTTACGCTGCTTCCACCTGTTTTTCAGCTGATTCCAGTAAAATGAGCTGTTGACCTTTGCAGGTGGCAGTACGTGAAGGACAAGGCGATCTTGCTCTGCACATCATCACTGAACTCTTTGCAGCTCGACTGTATTTTCTCCCGCGCTCGAGACCAACACTGGCCATAACGCGGCTGCTGTGACAATTCACGCGCTCGCTGCAATTCAACGCGGCCCTTGTCCTCCGAACTTCTGTCGCTACTCACGGCACAGACAACAACGGCGATGGCCAAAAATGCCGTGGCCCACATTACAGACCGAGAGGAGTTGTTGAACACACAACAAAAGTGATTAAAAAAAAAAACAGGCAAACCTTCAATCAGTATTGTATGACTAATACAACAACACACCACGCGCACCACGCCAGCGTTCAGTTTCAATTTTGTTCTGCCCACAGGCTGGAGAATGGGTGGATGTGGCCTCGGGTTTTTTGCATGTTGTTGTGGAGTAGATGAGTAGATTAGATACGCACCCAATCAAATCCATGTATTTTACTGTATGCTTTGCATTATGTTTAACGTTTTCAGAACTTGATGCACTACAACAGATTCATTTCAATCAATTTTCTTCCTTTTTTAGGTTTTCAGAACCATATAATTAATAAAGATAATTAGTTTCTTACAAATATACACTACCGTTCAAAGGTTAGTTAGGTTGGTAATGTTATGGTTTATGCTCACCAAGGCTGCATTTATTTGATCAAAAATACAATAAAAACAGTAATATTGTGAAATATGTACTATTTCAGCAGCCATTACTGCAGTCTTCAGTGTCGCATGATGCTACAGAAATCATTTTAATATGATGATTTACTGTTAAAAAACATTTCTGATTATTCGAAAACAGTTGTGCTGCTTTATATTTTTGTGGAAAACACATTTCTTAAGGATTCATTAATGAACAAAGTTTTTTGTACATTTATTTTTGTAATTAATGTATCCTCACTTAATAAAAATAGACATATTAATTCATTTAAAAAAATCTTATTCATTTAAAAAAATGTTTGTTAAATTTTTTTTTTTGCATAGCCACAGTTTTACTACAAATATCATGGTTAAACTTTGTGTAGCAAAACTCTAGTTTCCAAAGTTGGGCGTTGCTTGTGATTTTCAAGGGTGTAGAATTTAGTTGGGATGCTATGACATGGCTCTGATATATCACTCCAAGGTAGGTTTGATTTTGCCATCGCATTGGTAGGGACGTAACAGCAGACGACAGACATTTAATTGTATGATCAAAATTATTGCTAGGGACAATTTAGTAGTTGCTAGATATTGGTAGGGACATGTCCTTAGCATCACTACTAAATTCTACACCCTTGTATCACTCTATCACTACTTTTTTGTCTCTTCCAGGCAGGGTCAGAAATTAAGCAGTGTTTGGTGCAAAAATGCTATCGAAAATGACAAAAAATACCTCAGTTTTAAAATATAGGGCCGTTTATTTTTTATCTGTTATCTAACATTGTACATATTTTATTTTATATTCTATTCTAAGCCTATCTATAGTGATGGGCCTTAGTATAGATTTAGTGCCTCCGAAGAAATTGTAGCTGTCAGATTTATTCTGTTTTCGCTGTTTCAGATGCGAGTGTTGTTGAATACCCAAGCAAGTGTTTTTTGATTGCAGGAGGATGGGAGACTAAAATAAGCTCAACTGAATAGAAGGAAAACATTCTCAAGAACTCCAATCCAAACACATAAAAATCTCACCATGTAACATATGGATTGGACAATTATTTAAAATGCAAATGGCAGAGTTTTTATTGAGTCATGGCATTTGCATTTGATGTTGATTCAGTTTTAAAGGTAAAGGTTACATAAATGTGCATTTCTTTAAATGTCTTTCTTTTCTGCTTTCTGCCAAGTCTGTGAATATACCTTTATCTGTGGGCCTGTAAGCAAAGACATGGGACATCCCCAATAGTACTCTCATCTCCTCCTTTTCTTACCTCATTATCGCATTCATGTGTCAAAAGAGGAAGTTGGGAAAAAAATAAATTACAAATGTCAACCTTGCAAATGTCACCTCACAGCACTTGTTGATTGCTCTCAGCTGGACTGATGAAAATGTCAATGTGAAGCAAAATATGTAATTGAAGAAAGTAACAATTGCACAACATATGAGATTCACTGGCATAAAGAGCCTTATTCTTGCTTGTTCAGGTTTGTGATTTAGATCAATAGAAATAACAAACAAACAAACAAGCAAATCAAAATCAAAAATGGATTCAAAAATCAAAGTGCCAAATGCTTTTTAAAAATGCAATTTAAAAGGGCATTTTTTAAATATTCAAACAATGTATAATTGCTGTTTTTCCAATTATTGTTTTAAACTTTTTTAAAGACTTTTAAAAGAATAAATGTAAAAATAAATTAAAAATATAAGTAAATTAAATTCAACTGTAAAGTCTATTTAATTTTTTTTGTTCATTTACATACAGTATATATATATATATATATATATATAATCAAATGTATTTTTTATTTATTTAAAGTGACACTCATAGTCTTCCACAGACCTGTTTGAAAAGGGTGTTTATACATTTTATATACCTGAAAACACATTCACAAACTTGACATGGATTTATCTGAGAGAAACAGGACTTTGTCACAGAATGGAATAATACAGTTATGCACTATTATTCTGGTGTGCAATGCAGCTCTCCTCGCCCTGGACGTTGTTTCCCTCTCTGGTTATCCACTTCTTAGCTCTCGCGAGAACGTACGCGCTATACCCCCTTTCCCTTCCACCCCACCTCTCGCGAGATCTCGCGTCCGAAGGATGGTGTTGTGTTAGAGGCAGTGGGGAGAAGGGTGAGGGGTATCCACAAAGATGTTGCGTGATTTTTTGGAGATTTATTTATTTAAATAAAAATGGCCGCCGCAGAGAGCGGGGAGGAGAGACTGTAAGTGTGAACCGCATCCATTCCCATTGTCACGGATTCCAATGTCAGGCGTCGCGAGCGGCGATGGCGTCGGTTTTGATCGTCGCTGTGATATTTTGTCAAGCAGGCTTAGGCTGAGGGCTGAGGGGGGGAATGTTAGCCGGGCTAGCCCGCGAAGGCGTTGAGAATACGTCACTCGCATTTCTCCCGCTCTTTTTCCACGATCAGCGGACACTTTGTGCGCCACGAGAACCGCGCGCTTAAGCCCAGTGTGTGTTCGGTGTCCTTTTCTGACGTTACTTCAAAAACTCTTCTGAAATCTAGAGCGAAAGGCAGCCTGGGGGTTTGGACGCACGCGGTTTGTTTTGCTGATATTCGCGGCTCTTTCGCGGAAATGTTAAGGCGCTCCCGTGTCGTTTAATTCCAAGCCTCTCTAGCTGTCAAAAACAGCAGACTGAAGTAAGTTAGCTTGCTTGTGGCGCTGCAGGAAAAGGCAGGGGACCGAAATGAGATTTGCTCTAGATAGATCTGCCTGTCCTGGCGTGGAATGGCTTGACTAAGTGCTTAGAAATGAGGTTAAGATGCGTTTTAGCCCAATGCAATGGTGTGCTGTGTGGGTAGCTGTGCATCATCAGGTACCAAGTTTGCATATGCATGCAAGTTGGCCAGTGTGCTAACGTTATTTCTCTGCCTGATGTCACCGTGCGTGTCTCTTGTGTTGTTATTGCTGCTCGTTTTGACCCTGCAGCATGCAAACCATATAACTCCAGGTGCAAAACACACTCGTTTTTCTCGCGTCACTGAAATAGATAGTGTGCTTGCTTTAGCAATGCACAAGGCACTCCCATGTGAGAGCAGACTGGTGATATTGTTGCGCTGACTTCCGGTAGCCCGCTAACGGATCTAGCAGCATAATATTTGTGTATGTGTGTGTGTGTGTGTGTGTGTGTGTGTGTGTGTGTTTGTGTGTGTGGTCGACCGCAGGGGGATTTGCACAAACTGAGTGACATGCAAGACACTGCTTCATGTCTTCTGCACACACTTGTGACATGTCTCGAAGGCTGAACTTGCATCCTGTGCAATTTACTAGATTGACTAGTACTGGCTAGATGAAATACTTAGTTTGCCAGCTGTGGAAGATTGCTATTTTGAATATTTGTTGTGAATTTAATTTGGTCACTAAAATGTTGTTTGGAAAATACACTGAAAAAAACCAGGAAACAATTGTCACTCAGAAAGGTGCAGAGAATGGCAAGTAACACATCGAATTACACATTACATTTTGAAGTAGAACAACTAAAATAGTATTTCCTGGTAAAACACAGTCCAGTAATCTTTGTTTTATTTAAATATTTTATTTAAATCAGTTTTTACAGTGTGGGGCAAGTTGAACTTTCATCATCGTGAGTCAAAAGGAAGTTCAAATAAACACGTTACGATCTTTCCGTCTCTGGTTTTCCGATGTCTTTTCAAAGACGGTTGTTCATTATGGTTAAACATGATCCTAGATTGTCCAACATGGTATAATTGTTCGTATTTTATAAGATTACATACGAGGAGCTGTCTAATGCACATATTCATTGATTTCCAGCAGAGGTTCAAGGCCTTCGCCGCCTCCTATAAAGCTCCTACTTAGTACTAAATTGAACAGTCAACGTTCACAATAAAAACTTGATTATGACCAATACCAATTAGCTTTCATTATGGTTCTTTAATTGACTTGCCCCAACAAAGTCGTGGCTTAAAGAAAACTTAGGAGTGGCTGGTATTCATTTGCATTCATTTCATAAATTTGTAGTTCATGCATAAGGTCACATCTATAAATTTTTCCATGGCTAACAAACAGAATATCTCATCTACGCCAAATGAAACTGTTTCTGCCCTAGCAATCATTTCATGGAGCATGCAACACATGCTGAAGTTGTAAATTAATAAATGTGAATGCATAGCAAAATTTTAAATAAAAATACATATATAAATAAGGCAAATTGTATATATTTGGTCATGTGACTGGATTTTCCTAGATTTTTAATAACTTAATCGTCTTTAACTCATTTTAGGTGGTGCTGCATTGTGGATAATTTTACAAATATTGATGAAATGCAAATATTCCATGTAGTTTCTCATTTAACATGAAGTCATAAAAGTTGTGTGCATAACATGTATGCAAAATGTATTAAAAAATGCATTTGAATTGATTTTGAATGGGGTTGTGCAAGTCACAATGCAGGATGTGAACTTCCCAAAAATGTTTTATGTCAGAATTAACATATTTGTCCAGCTAAAGTGATGAATTGATGCAGGTTTTGACTAAAATGATGATGACTTTCTTGGATGGTTTAATAACAAAGTAATTGTAGAAAT